GATGAATATTTTATTAATTTTCAGCATGGTGGATTATGGGCGTGTGTTCAGCTACTGTCTAGAGCCTGATGCCCCTCAGTCATCCCCAGTTCGATCACTGTGTAGTCTTCATGCTCTTGGAAGAGTGGCTGTTGCTCTGTGTAATGGACGCCTCTTCTTGTGTAGCTCTGATGTTACACCAACATCACCTGTGCTTGGAGAGGGAAGTTTTGTTATGACTGAACTGGCTGGTTCTACACAAGAGATTCACTGTCTTGCTGTTTCTCAAACTCAAACTACATGGTAAATAAATTTAAAGATAAAATAATGGTTAGCATTCCCAGGTATTATTACAGATTGATCTGTGGGTAATAAATTCTGATTCTTCATAAAATTATGTAATAACAATGGGTAACATTTGCTTAAAAATTATGTAGCTACACTTTCACAACCTTAAAGGGGGAGGTAGTAGGCAGCTACCAAACAGGGAGGTACTACCGCCTGGGAAGATATTGGAAGCATAATGTGTTGTCTAATGGTAGACCCTGCTGCCATATGGCATCACGAAAATTGTGACCTAGTCCCAGGTTGCTGATCTGACTTTCTGCCTCATTTACACACATTGCAGGGTCTCAATTGTTTCTCTTGCTTTGACAACACAACATACATATACAGTGGTCCCTCGGTTAACGAGCACAATCCGTTCTAGAAGGTTGCTCGTTAACCGAAAAACTCGTTAACTGAAACCATTGTTTCAATGGGTTTTTGGGTAATTGGTTCCAGCTCACCGAAAATTGCCTAAATTCAACAAAAAAGGTAGTAAAGTACACTTACTTTGAGGTGTGTATGTAGAAGGCTCCTGGATGATGATGATGATGGTAATTAGAATGGGGGGTGGAGGAGAAGGGAGAAGAGAAGGCATTGGGGTGGAAGAGAAGTCACCCCATGGTGCCATTTCACCCATAAAATTTTAGTTCTCTTGGTGTAATTCAAGATTATTTTCTTTAAATCAACACTGCACTGCATTATATATTGTCAATATGTAAAATAAATTTCAAAATTACCAATAATTTGCTTATAAACACAGAAAAAAGCATTTAGTTGAAGAGAGTCTCAAGCAAGATGTTACCTCCACTGAAAAGACACAAAGACTGACGCCTGTATGCTGTGTTGGCAGGCTGGATGGCGTGCCATAAACTAGTGACCCTACCTTCAATTATGTTCAATAATTGTTAAAATGACTAAAAAATTTAATATTAATTTTTTTAAATTATTGAATAGTATAAACTTCTAGATATTTACTAAAAGGGTAAGGAATTTAGGCCCTAGAACCGAATACTGTATTGGCAGACTAATACTACAGCTGGTGGACCGCCAAATGCAAGCTAAAACATGTGGAGGTCGGCTTGTAAGAAACTCGTTAACCGAGGGATTGCTCGTTAACCGAAGTTAAGAATCTTATGGAAGGTAACGCGTTAACCGAGGCGCTCGTTAACCGAGGGACCACTGTACTGTATTGTTTCTCACTATTAATTTTTATTTTATTTAAATTTTTTTATTCTCTTTATTACAGGTATTATTATTATTATTATTATTATTATTATTATTATTATTATTATTATTATTATTATTATTATTATTATTATATATATATATATATATATATATATATATATATATATATATATATATATATATATATATATATATATATATATATATATATATATATATATATATATATATATATATATATTACACACACACAGTTGTACCCCACTTAACGCGGTCAATTGAACCCAGAGGGTCCCGTGTTAAGTGAAATCCGCGTTAAGTGAACAACAGAACATATGGGATTAATTCCAATAGAAACCAGCCCGACCCCCAAACTCCACTTTTTGACGACACATAACTATGTTGTAGTAAAAATTCTATCTTAACTTTATGATGGTATGAAAAAACAAGTAATATAGAAGAGGTTAGGTTAGGAAAGATAAAGGTTAACATAGGAAAAATGAAGGTTAAGTTAGAGAAACTAAAAGTTAGATGTAACACTTACGGTTGTAGAAGAGATGGGTCGGCATACGGGGATGGAGGCTGGTTCCGAGGCAGAGGGCAGATTACTGGCCCTCAGGTGAATCACCATCACTGTCACTTACAGTTGTCAGGGCTTCCCTGACAAATCCCTCAAAGTCAACTTCACTTTCACTATCACTGGCTTGGGCTGGCTGTGGTGGGTTGCGGGCGAAGAACTCGGTTATGCTTTGCTGACGGCTGGCGTTGATGTTGTCATGATACACTGTGATGTACGGCTCCATAGCCTGCACCAGTCGGGTATGGAAGACTTCATAGCGTTCATCGTCATTGTCGCGGGAAAGGACGGACTTAATTTTTTCTGCAAACTCTATGGCACACTTAATATCACTATGACTTAAACTAGGTTCTTCGGAGAATAACGCACCTTCTTCCTCCTCTTCACTGGCGCGTTCTTCTTCCAACATCTCGTCGGCAGTCACTTCAGGATCTTTGATCACCTCCAGGATGTCTTCGTTGGTGGTCTCGGAGAAGCCTTCAGCTGTAATATTGAGCGCAGCTTCTCTGGCAAGGTCCACTGCTACTGCAACAGTCTGAACCTGACCAGTCACAGGTTCACTCCTCCTCTCACCTGGTATGCCATGCAACACATGTTTCCATGCGTGACGAATCGTAGCAATAGTCAGCAGATCCCATGCCTCCACCAAGAAGTCTACAGCTTGTTTAACGTTAAACTTCTTCCAAAATTGTTTGACGAGAAGTTCTTGAGTCACCGCCTCTTGTTCCTTGTCCTCGTCGCTTTTGCTCTCGCTGTCGGTGTCACCCAGCTTACGCAACTCATCCTTGGTGTTGGTAGAGTCGTTCAGGAGCTTGAACTTCTTTGCAGAGTACGCAGCTTTCACATTGCAGATCAACTCCTGGTCCATGGGCTGGATTAATGACGGAGTGTTGGGAGGAAGGAAGACCACTTTTACGTTGGGGTGACGATCCATAAGTAGGGGCGAGTGTCCAGGTGCGTTGTCAAGGAGCAACAAAATATTGAATGGAACATTCTGTTGCTCGCAGAATTTCTTCACGTCGGGAACAAAACAGTTGTCAAACCAGAAGAGGGACAGAGAAGAGGACATCCACGCCTTACGTGCGGTTAGCCAGTGGACATTAAGCTTGTTCATGTCCATATTCTTGTAGGCGTGCGGCTTGCGGGCTGTGTGAATCACCGATAACTTTGGTTTACAGGTACCGGAGGCATTGGTGGTAAACAGGACGGTGATGCGTTTCTTCTGCAACTTCCGACCCCTTACCTTGCTGGCAGACTGGACAACGAAGGTCTTGGAAGGTAACTTTTTCCAGAAAAGACCAGATTCGTCCATGTTAAACACCTGGTCGTCACTGTACTGTCCTTCCTCCATAACCTCACGTAAGAACGGAGGAAAATCTCTAGCCGCCACACGGTCAGCACTCGCTTCCTCACCACCAATGTTGATGTTGGTGATCTTGTTCCTCTTCTTAAACCTATGCAGCCAACCAGAGGAAGCATTGAAGGGTTTGGGCTCTGCAATTCCCAGCTTACGTGACACTGCTGCGTATAGCTCACGTGCGTACTCCTGCACTGAGCGCGTGTCCACCGCTATGTTGCGTCGCGCCTGACGAACCAAATAACTCACCAGCAAATTTTCCACTTTTGCCAGCACCCTGTTCTGGCAATACCTGATAGATGAAGCACCTGCAGACTTTGTGATTTTCATGTGCTCTTTGATCTTGGCTGCATCCTTCTTGATCGTGCAAATCGTAGATTCGTTGACGCCATGCTGGCGCGCGAGATCAACTTGCCGTCTTCCTTTCTCCAAATCTTGAACAATTTGGTACTTCACCTCGTAGCTTAATGAACGTCGTATCTTCTTTGGCTTAGTGCCGCTGGGTCCAGGTAAGGAAAGGTCTCTCTCTGGGGGCGGTGGTGGTCCGGCGGAAGCCATTTTACTGAACAATGGATGCGCGTTTACACGGTGTGGCCTTGAGGGATGAAACTGCCGCAGCTAGGTCAAGCATCGTCTCTCCTCCCTCCCTCCCTCCCTCCCCGGGGTGGTCACGTCATAATACTTTAAGCCAATTACAGCTAGCAGCAGAGGGGGGTAGGGATGCATGGCCAATAACAGTCCGATACGTCATATGACGTCAGTGATAACGCAACAAAGACACACACTGCGCAACCTTACCGTGCCGGTTACCCAAGCGGAGGGAGGAGGAGGGAGGAGGAGGGAGAGGCAGGCAGGCAGGCGGGCGGGTGGCGTGTGGGGCAAATCTAAAAATAGCGTCTCGAGCCGGACACTCACCGCGTATATGATGAAAAATTCCGTGTTAAGTGAAAGTTCAGCTCTGGCAGGGCACCGCGTATATGAAAAAACGCGCTAAGTGAAACCGCGTTAGGCGGGGTAATACTGTGTATATATATATGTGTATATATATATATATATATATATATATATATATATATATATATATATATATATATATATATATATATATATATATATATATATATATATATATATATATATATATATCTATATCTATATCTATATCTATATCTATATCTATATCTATATCTACAGTATATCTATATCTATATATATATATATACAGTTGTACCCCACTTAACGCGGTCAATAGAACCCAGAGGGTCCCGTGTTAAGTGAAATCCGCGTTAAGTGAACAACAGAACATATGGGATTAATTCCAATAGAAACCAGCCCGACCCCCAACTCCACTTTTTGAAGACACATAACTATGTTGTAGTAAAAATAACATCTTAATTTTATGATGGTACATGCACACAATTAATACTTAAGAGAAATAGAGAAATACAGTCGCCAAGTTAATGTCCATTCAAATAATGGACTCAACTCCCTCCCCCTCTTCTCACACTACACTGCTGGCTCTTCCCTCTGAGAAATTTTTTGGGGAAAACCACTAAATTTTAATAAATAATACCTCAAACTAAAGTTAGGATAATACAATTGACATTGCTGGATTCCTTGTAAGACCAGGAATATTTTGAATATAAATGTCATATATTTTGCACAAAAGATAACATAGTTACCTAGAGAAAAATTTTTATCTAAAATTTGTATGTTTAATGCAAAATATATGATGTTTATATTCAAAATGATCACCAAATTATAAGAATTCCAGTAATGTAAATTATATTCTGACCGGGTAATTTGTATGAATTTTATGAGTTTCAAAAAACAGGCAGCCAGGCAGCGTATGGT